TTGAGGTGGCACTGAACGCGGAGCTCCTGCCCACCTCCTTCGGTGCCCTGCCGCTCCGCCCTGCACGCCGGCGCCCCAACCCAGGGTTCCAGATGCGGGGCGGTATGGGCGTGCCCGGCGTGTGGGGCGCCGCACGCAGCCCCCGGAGGCCCGGGAGCGCAGGCGGGCCGATCTCCTGGAGCAGGACTGCGCCTATGGCCGGGTGGTTCGTAGTGGGCGTGTTGCTCGCGAGGGCCCAAGGGTCCAGCAGTGGCGAAGCGTCCCGGCTCGCTCATAGCCCTACCGCAGAATGTGCTAGGAACCTTTTTGTGGTTCCCACGGAATGTTCTCAGGGCATTTCTGGCTGGGACTGTCTTGTTTTAACACATCGGGTTATGTTGTCAGAACATTGGTTTTGTTCTTAGAACATTTCTGGGTTCTAAGAAATTTTCGTGGTATGACTATAGGAATGCAAGCCGGGACGGCCGGTCCCTGCTCAAAAGTGGCCCGCAACAGGCCGATGTCGAACAATCCGAATGTTGCACGATCGGGAAGCCTCTGTCGTTCAAGGTTCAACGATCCACGCGCCGTCAGAGACCAGCGCGCAAGTCGTTCCCGCACCGACCCGCGGTAGTGTCCTGCGGCTGTGGAGGGGCCTCTTTGCGGGGAGTCGAAGAATTCTTGGGTTTTTTTGTTGTGGACCTCGTGCTTCTTGAGCTCCGCTTTCTGGGGGCCTGTTTGGGGGTCTTGGGCCTGTCGCGGGCGCAGTGGTTCTACCGAGGTCTCCAAAAGAGGGACAGTTTTGACGGGTCATATGGTCCTCTGGGGGGCGTTTTAGGCGGTGATGACTCGTCTTGGGGGGGGTCTTCTGGCCCGTGGTGTCCCCCAGCCGTCTTGGGATCATCTCGGTTCCGTCTTTGCTTTGCTGTCTTGGTGCGCACTTCTTGGATTCGTTTATCTTTTCAAGTCTTCCTGGAGTCTTCCTATCACTTGGGTCCTGATGCCTCTGACAGGCCATCTTACTCCGATGTGTTTGTGGGGGCAGCATCACTGAACACACCTTGGGTTGTTCGATGTGTTTTCGCCACTTGGCGCTCCTGGCGCCTCGTCGGGCTTCTTGGGGACATCTTGGGGCCCTTACAGGGGTCTTTGGACCGTGGCCAGTCTCGGGAGATCTTGCGACTGCCCTGTCAGAGTGCTCAAACATAGCACTCCAGACCTAGATCTATCTGGACTGCCTCAAACCTCGACGGGAATTAAAACGTCGATATCCTGGTGCTATTTTTTAGCCCTCCTGGAGGGTCAGGGTTGCGACTGCCTTGGGGCGGCCCTGGGCCGTCGTGGGGCCCTGCAGGGCGCCAGGGAATCCGGCGCACGGGCCCGGGTTTCTCCCTGGGAGCCGCCGCTGCAGGGCGACCGGAGGGCCGCCCTGCCGGACAGCGGGCAGGCACTTGAGGGCGCGACCCGGCGGTTCTTTGCGGCACGGCGGCGGGCCCGGTGCTTCTCTTGGGCCGAACGAAGAGGGGGGGGGTGTAGGGAAAGGGGGGGTACCGAAAGTTGCTGCACGCAGCTGCTTTCGGCCCCGCCGAGGGGCCCAGTCCTCCGCACACGTGGCCGCCTCCCGGCGCCGGGAGGCGCCGGGAAACTCAGCAACGTGCGCTGATTCTCACCCCCCCCTGGTTCGGGGGTGGACAGAACAGAACCCCCAACAGTGACACGTCGATTCGTGAATTGTCCGTTTTCGGTTCTCGAGGGGGCGTCGTGGCCGTCATTTTCCAGGCCTGCGCCCGCCAGGTCTGGGCCTCAGGTCGTTTTCACTAAACCGCGTTTTACCCAAGGGAGGTCTGTCCATCCCCGACACACCAATATCGGCGGTGCACCTGGTTGTAAAGGATGTTGGTGATCAGCACGTTGAGATACTCATTCGTAGTCCAAAACCAACTGCTGACATCCTCGATCAAAAACTTCGTGCAACAAGAATTCGACTCGGGGCGGAGGAGTGCGATAGTGCAGACAAGAAATCCAGTTACTCTGTATCCTATATAAATTCCAGCGGCCAAGCAGCATCCCCGACCGTTGCTGTTCGCCCAGCGCGCTCGATGTCCGAGGCGTGGCAGGCTCGTGCCGTGCCGACACGACGCTTCGGCCCCCCAGCGCGGGCGCTCCGGCGCTCCGGGTCGAGCGCCGCCCAGTGGCCCCGGAGGCAGTCCGGCGGGTCCCTCCGCAGGAGGGAAATTCAAAAATAGTCAAAACATCGTAGGGGCGCTATGTTTCAAATGTTTGCGATTATTTTGTCAGCATTTCTGCAGATTTTACCACTCGTATTACAAGTCGTGTTGCTAAGTATAGTTCGTGTACTTGTACTGTTAATTCTGGCACTCGTACTATTTCTTGTACTTGCCATGATGACTACTACCACTACTGCTATCACGATTACTCCTACCAATACACACTGCGTTTGTCTTTCAAACTCCGCCTGCAGGAGGACATGCCCGACCGAAGCCCAGAATCGGCCAACATG